CTCTATGTAACTTTCGTATTACAGCTGAAGATATTGCACCTGAAGATCCCGAGGTACGGGTACCCTTGTTATATCTGGATATCATTATGTCCGAGAGTTAGCTCATTAGGAAAATATTTTATCTTCAAAAAATCATTTAACTAGTTTGAAAACATTTGCATTGACTCCTTCCATATATTTCATTGTTCGTATTTTGCTAGGATTGACCCTAGGCCATGCAATAATTTTAAGATCTCTATAGTTACAACTTACAACATAATTTTTTTTAAAAAAGCTTATGATGTTGTCATGTCATTCGAACTTAGAAGCCTTTTATTTAATCTTATTTCCTATACATGATTATATATCTACTAATATGTCATGAGAGCTACCTAAATACTTTCACTTTCCCGCAAATAGCTTTTTAACTAGTGTTAAAAAGTACAAACATTTCAATGAATACTCCATCTATATATATCATTGTTTAATGTCACAGGTGAAGCCCCTAATAGATAATGTTTCTAAACCAATCACTGTCACGGCTGGAGATGGATGTGTTGGCAAAGTCAATTTCGTTGAGAGACGCTCTTTTTTGCATCTGTTTAGAAGTTTCGATCGAATGTGGACTTCTTATATCCTGTGTTTGCAGGTACCACTAGCTTATATTCAATTCTTTCAGTCCAGTTTGTATATTGCGTAAACCTGTTATACGTAATTTGATGGATTATAAGGATTTTGTTTAGGCAATGATCATAATTGCTTGGAATGAAGACGGAGATTCTGAGGAGGATGATGTCTTCAACACTGTTTTGAGCATCTTCATCACAACTGCAATTTTAAACCTTGCACAAGGTGAGTTTGGTTTAGGATATATCATTTTTTGGCATATGAAAATTGATTGTGATAATTACCTGCCAACGAATATGTCTTAACCTTCTCAGTCTTAATTTCAAGGAGATTCAGGTTGCATGCATGGTTTCATTTGAAATGTTTTTCGTATTTTAAGTGAATGAAAATCATTATGCTTTCCTTCCACTTCTCTGACTACTTTCTCTAATAATTTTCAGCTCTCGTCGACATAGTTCTGACCTGGAATGCATTACATAGCATGACATTCTATATGCAGCTCAGATACCTCTTGAAGGCAGTTGCCGCTGTTATATGGGCAATAATTTTTTCAATAACTTATTACACACATAACCGCATTTTCTCCAGTTTTGCTATTGTTATTTACTTATCTTCAAGCATGCTCATGGCTGTGATGTTCCTATGTTTATTCTTCCGATGTCATCGTAAAAGGTTGTCTCAGAATAAGATCGTGAAACTGGTGATGTGGTGGTATCAGGTATTTTCTCTATATAGCTTCTGTAAATAAACTGCCAATTTATAAACAATGTACACTAATCATGATTCTTGGTGAAATAGCCTCGGCCGTATGTAGGAAGTGGTATGCACGAGAATGCATGGTCATTCATCAAGTAAGAGTACAAAACATGCATGCATGCTAGGGGTTAAAATGTTGATGGATCTTCCAACACTGCGTAATGAGGCTAGGTTTCGTGAATGATTTGTAGGTACATGATGTTCTGGATTTTCCTGCTAATTCTAAAGTTTGGATTCAGTTATTATGCGGAGGTACCACATTTTCACACATCTCATTGTGTTGTTTGTATAATATTATTATGTGAGGAACATTAATTTACTCCAAAAAGAAGAAATTGAATAATGATTGTTTACTACTAGTGGCCACTGGAAAATTATGGCAACACGTTATTCTATATTCTCATAGTTGCCGTTTGCAAAGCAGATTAAGCCTCTTGTTGGTCCAACCAAAGAAATTATGCGACTTCATATATCAGTCAACCGTTTGCCTGAGTTGTTCGCTCCTGGTAAAGGTTAATATATAACATGTTGGTGTTCACTGGTTATTTCTTAACTGAATTTTTTACTAAATTATCTAGATGTTATATCTTTTGTTTTCTCAGCTATGAATAATATAGTCCTCGTGTTCACGCTATGGTCACCTGTTATTCTTGTGAGTTGGCTCATACTCTCCATTGCCATAGGCTTCTATCTTAGGGTCACCCCAATGTATGCTAAATCTCACATGTAGGTTTATTTCATGGACACTCAAATATGGTATGCTACACTATCAACTCTGGTTGGCAGTACTATTGGAGCTTATCAACGTCTTGGAGAGGTTCATATTTGCTTTCCTTATTATGCACTTCATAAGTAACTGAGACTACATAACTTGTCGAATTTCCAGCAAAACACTGTCTAAAAAGAAGCTAATTGCATTTTCAGGTCCAAACACTTGGAATGTTGAGGACTAGATTCCAATACTTATCAGGGGTCTTTAATGATTTGCTAGTTCCAATTAGCAAACCCCCACCACCAGGAGTTGCCATAGACCAAGTAAAACTGAATGTTTTGAAGGAAGCACGATTTTCTCAGATGTGGAACAAAATAATTACTAGTTTTCGAGAAGAGGATTTGATTAACAATAGGTTGAATTTGAGTTTGATAATTTCATCCTTATTTCAATTATTGAATTAATTGTTGAATCTTTTTAGATGCATGGGGAAGAGTTTAGTGACTAATGTTGATTGGTATGCAGGGAAATGGATCTCCTACTGGTGCCATATTGGAAGAAACTGGATGCAAAAAAAGAGCAAGATCCAACCGAAAATGAACACCAAGATCCTATCCGCTGGCCACTTTTTCTGCTGACTAGTAAGGTGAATATCTTAACTTTTTGTCTTATATATGATCTTAATTTTAATATGGACTCGTTTGTAAATGTGGTAGATCCCAGTAGCCCTGGAGATGACGAAAGATAGCAATGGAAAAGACAGTGAACTGAGAAAGAGGCTGAGAGATGACATTTACATGACTAGTGCAGTTAACGAGTGCTATGCCTCTTTTAAGATTCTCTTAAACACTTTGGTTGTCCAAGAACAAGATGTTCTGTAAGTTTTAGAAAATTCTTCTCAATTTTAGTTTGTATTTTAACTTGCACATTTCCTTTCGTAATTTATTTGTCTTATGCAGGATCCTAGATAAAATTTTCACCATGATTGATAATCATATAGACATAGGTACACTTATAACGAGCGTTAATTGGAGTGTTCTTCCTGATCTGTATGACCAGTTTGTTGAACTAACTGACCATTTGGTAAGTCTTGTAGCTACAAAAAGATAAAAATAAAAAAATTGAAAAGGAACCAAGTCAAGTGAACTTTGTCTACATGTAACAGCTACAAAAAGAGACGAGCATGTACAAAATTTCTCGTATTTTGCTAAATATGTTAGAAATGGTGGAATCGCGCTTGATGAAGGAAGATCCCCCAAGGTAAGACCATGTGACATAATCCCACGTCATAATTTCTTACAACGGAAACACGAATAGTATTGAATCCAGGCTCAAAATGGCTTTAGAATATGGAAACGAGCAACATATTATGTTAAAATAAACTTTTGGCTGAATGACTGACTGATCAATTGTTGTTCAAAGCACACTCATTAAGGTTTTCCTTTCCATAGCTTGCGAGAGTCAAGCACCCGTAACTATTTCCTAAAGCTTCATCATCCGGTGGGCCCTCGCATAGAAGCATGGGAAAAAAATGCAAGTGTTCTCTATAAAGTTCATACACTTGCCTTATTCTTGTTTCCACGATACATATCTAAGATGTCTCTGTTTGCTTTTCGTTGTCATCGTGCAGATCAATAGGCTTTATCTTTTGCTGACAGTGAAAGATTCGGCTATGGATGTACCGTCAAACTTGGAAGCTCGAAGGCGTCTTACATTCTTTTCAAATTCGTTATTCATGGAAATACCCGAAGCACCCAAAATCCGCAACATGCTTTCCTTTTCGTATGTTCCTTGCACCTCAAGAAACTCTTGAATTGCCATCTCCAATATTCCACATTTCCCATGAGCCTAAATCTAATTGGCATACAGCATCTTTTTTTTTGAATTACTGAACTATACAGCATCTTAATTAATACATCTCTCCTCTTTTGCATTTCCATAGGGCACTAACACCATACCATGAAGAGGAAGTCCGTTTCTCCATTCTTGATTTGAAAAAGCAAAATGAAGATGGAATCTCTATACTCTTTTACTTGAAGAAGATCTTTCCAGGTTTCACTTTTCTTCTGTTTTCCCAAAATATCTTGTGACCTCTTATTTCGTCAACTGAGTATGCGGTTTACCCCAGATGAGTGGATGAACTTTCTGGAGCGAGTTAAATGTGGCAGTGAGAAAGAGCTCTTAGCATCATCAGATTATTTGAAAGAAAAGCTTAGTATGTGGGGGTCTTACAGGGGGCAAACACTGGCCAAAACAGGTATGTACATGTGTTCTTTCACTTGTTTTTCTCTTGAATTTTTAGTGGAGGGAATTTTTTGTTTTGGTAATCTGTTGTGCCCAAGCAGTGCGAGGCATGATGTATTACCGAAAGGCTTTTAAGCTCCAAGCCTTCTTTGATCTGGCGAAAAAAGAAGGTACATGATCAAGAATATATTGTTACCATATTTAATTCATAATGAACTTTCAAAGTGTTTCTCAAACTGCTTTTGTTTTTGTCCAAGAATTAATGAGTGGTTACAAGAGTACAAATCCAGCATCAGAACGTGCAATATTACGCCAGACCTTTATTCATCACGCGACCGATGAAGGTGCTTGAAGAATATCTTGTTATAGAAAAAAAAAGAAAAGAAAAGAATATCATGTTATGATTATTTTCAATTCATAAAAGTATAAAACTGTGAATGCGTTTCTCAAAATACTTTCCTTTTATTCAAGACTTGGATAAAGGTTACAAGGCATTTATTAGTGAAGGAGAATCAGAAAGTGCAAAGTTACTCTGGGCAAAGTGTCAAGCACTTGCTGATATGAAATTCACATACGTGGTATCATGCCAACAATACAGTAAACATAAGAGAACTGGTAATCCGCGTGCTGCAGAAATATCTAGGCTTATGAATAGGTAAGTCATTATTCATCCTAATCTTTCAGTTCATTATCGGATGTATTAGGTTTAAGCATGCTATTTCACTGTGGCAGATACCCATCTCTACGTGTTGCTTATATCGATGAGGTTAAGAAAATACGAAGTGACAGTAAAGGGAATGTTGAAAAGATTTATTATTCAGCTCTCGTCAAATCTGACCCACAAAAGTATGGACACCAGGTATACAATTCGAGGAAAACTTACTAGCTACAACACCTTAAATTTCCATGCTCTGATTTTTTTTTCCTCATTACCAAAAAATTATGGTGATTACAAATTCTCGAGGGTTGGGAGTTGGAGATTGAGTTAA